AAGCCAGTTGACCAAAGCCATCTGTTGTAAAGAGAACAAACACATTACCCTTGAGTTCATATGTGTTTGGACGAGTCAGCTTTCTACAGTCAAGCAAGTTTACCTATGGACAAAGCCAGATATTGTCTTGTTCTCTAAATTGCAGATGATCTATAATGGATCGTTTGGCAGGTCTGATGACTGCTTGAATGGTTATAATGCAACTTTGCACTCTCAAGGGATTTCTTTATTCCAGTGTACAATATTTTTACCCGAAATTCATGAAAACAGGGTAAAGTCTAAAGACTCCACTCAGTATATCTTCATCTCCGAAATGCTATGGGTCATTCTGGTGTGCAAAGTACAGAAATGTTATCTTATGTTTGATTTCTTTGTTAATCTTCATTGTGAAATATACTACAAAGGCTTGTGTGGCAACAGTCCAACAGGTAACGATCTGTTTTGATAGTAAAGAGTGTCAAATGTCCTTCAAAAAGATGATATTGATTAAGACTGCATGGCTGGGAATTATATAGGAAATTAATCAATTTTAGCATCTTTTTAATAATTTTGTTGAATCAAGTTTATTTTATTTCTTTATATTTATATATGAGCAATATCACACAAGCAGCAGTGCAATTTGGCTGTATATCAGCACTGGTGGGAACCGTGTGGCTCAGTGTCCCACTACTGACAATATTCAGCCACATAGGATTGCTGCTCATGTGATATTGCGTTCACACAACAGTTCAACGGCATAATCTGGAATTTAAAAGAGAAAATCAAACACAGAGAGTCTCGCAATACTTTTGTATGAGGAACTACTTTCTTCCACCGTTCATTCACATCTGCAACTGACGTCAGAACAGCAGAAACTGTTGCTACTTCACCAAAGTCACTTTACAGCTATATTTGAATGATTCTCTAGTGTAATGTCTAAAGTGATGACAAAACAGGCATTTTTGCTCACATTTTAAGATTATAAGGTTGAACGGCATGAAATGCCATCAGATTTCCCAGTTTTTCTCTGTTGCAATCAGGAAATCACAATAATTAACCCTGAAAAAAGCTAAAGCAGCGCAATCACTACACTACTGTTGTGTTTGCAATGAAAAAATACACTAAACGCATGCAGGCATTTCTTCTTTCTTTCTGTTTACTGAACTAGTTTGCATAATGAAAACAGGAAATGCATCAGAGTCAAACAGATGGCAAACCAAATCTCGGGTTATACAAAGAGAGCCAACACAAAATTGATACATTCCTGATATGTGAGTCCAATTACACACTTAACACAATTACTATATAAATACAGCACCACGACATACAAAAGAGAGAGATTGACTTAGAAAGTCACTTTTTAAAAGAAAGTCACCAGTTTTATAATGATTTGATCAGCTGTAGTTTAAAATTACGCTGGGTTTTTCCTCTTCTGTAAGGGCTTATTATGTGGTCTCTGTCGTCATCTTGTGGATGGCGCTGTATCTTTGAAATTATAAATATTTAAAGTATCAACTATCACTATCCCTATAAATGAACTGCATAGTTGCAATCTAAACAACTACATTCTCACCTAAAAAGCCTCAAACGTACATTATGTTGTCCAACAGATGTAATATTTGTCACTGTAGTGAGTTTATTCATCTGTTGTCACTCTATTTGGGCAGAGTAATACAGAAGGGTGAGGAGGCTGTAGGATTTCTGATATTGCAGAATATCGCACTACTATCAGCCAATCAGATTCGAGAACCAGACAGAACTGTTGTATAAATAGGTTTAACTGATGCTAAGGGAAAAGTGAGATTGTTTTAGTAGATTTACAAAGCAAACTATACATGCATTTCCTCAAATAAAAGCAGGGATATAGGCAGGAGCCGAGTTTAAGTATTGACTTTGAATCTGATTCTGATTCTAAATATATCACAGCAGATTTGCTGTTGTCATGATATCAGTGCACAAGAATCAGCATGTACTGTGTCTATGTGAAGGCTGAATATTCTGTCTTCAAAAAGTTATTGAACTAAGGCACCATTAGATTAAAAGGATATTCAAAAGTCAAAATTAGAATAATATTATAGCAGCTATTAGATTTGCTAAATTAGGTGTAATAAAATGAAAATGTTATTTTTATTATAAAATTCAATCATTCATTCATTCATTTTAGTCCCTTTATGACTTTTCATTTCAATTTGATGAAGAAACATTAATTGCAAATATTACAATGTTTTTAATATTAAGATTTATTTATTTATGTTATGATTATGATTTTTATTTAATTATGATTTACCAAAGCATATTTCTTTATGTGGCAGAAATGTGCTTCTACAAATCTATTAATAAAGTTTAAACATCCATAAAACCATAATAAACCATTACCAAATTATTATTATTATTTGTTAAATCATATTTGAATAAATGCAATTATACAGTCATTATGTTGTGATATATTATATGTTGTATGCACCCTTCAATGTAAAATGTGAGGACAACATTTCCCATAAAGACTCAATTCATTTATTGTTTTTCTTTTCAGCTTAGTCCCTTTATTAATCTGGGGTCGCCACAGCGGAATAAACCTCTGACTTATTCAGCACATGTTTTACACAGCGGATGCTCTTTCAGCTGCAGCTCATCACTGGGAAACACCCATACACTCTCATTCACACACATACACTACAACCAACTTAGCTTACCCAATTCACCTGTACCGCATGTCTTTGGACTGTGGGGGAAACCGGAGTTCCCAGAGAAAAACCCCGCAAATACTAAAGACTCAATTATTACAGATATTTGTAAAATAATGAAACTATTTTAATTTCTTTTTCTCTACACAGCAATATCGTCAGAGTAGAGAGTATTTTGTCTAACACTACAAAGTTACAGCAGTCACAGAGACAATGAACATAAAAAATGAGTCAAAGAGCCCAAGTAAAGTAAATACTGCTCTCCACAATGGTGACATCCAACAAAACGAGTATTTTCAGAAAATCTCACAAAAGGTCTTTTGTAGACATCTGACAGAGATAAAGTCAGACAGGTTAGTAATAAGTGACGATGCTGGTGCTGTTTGTGGAGTTGTTTTATGATCCTGATGTGCTGAGATTTTGAGAGATTTGTTGTGTTTTGATTCAGTTGAGTTCATCTAAGGCCATGTCCACATACAGGTATTTTTGTAAATGAAAGAAAGTTTCTCCTCCATTTTTTAAATAAACACAGACCCTGGAAATCGTCACCTTGACAAGACTTTTCAAAAACTTTGGATTGTGTGACCCGATACTGCCTTTTTATGTGGACGAACAATGTAGAAAAAGCTGTGGGTTTGTGAATAGCAGGGCCTTAAAACTGAGACTGAAATCAGTTTTAGTTTTGTGTATTTTCTTAAGTCATTTTATCATTACTGTTCAATCGGCACTTTAACCCTGCTCCAGTGTTACTTTTCTGTGGAGTGGGACCAAATGCTCTCTGAGAAGTTAATTTTACTCTGAGGATTTTTCTGTGCATCAAATTGTGTATCAAAAAGGCTACTTTCAGGTAACAATATGTTAAAGTGTGTAAAAAAAATTTTTAAGAAATATTTATTCATTTTTTTCAGCTTAGTCCCTTTATTAATCTGGGTCACCACAGCGAAATTACCCGACAACTTATCCAGCATATGTTTTACACAGCGGATGTCCTACCAGCCACAACCCAGCACTGGGAAACACCCAGTTCAGTTTAACTTTTTAAAAAGCTTTTAAAAACATCTTTTTGGCCAAGCTGGTTTTACATTGGTGTTTCTGTTCTTGGATTTTTAACTTTGTTTTAATGTTTTCTTTTATTGTTTTCTTTTACCTTTTTTCAGTTTTCTTTTATTGTACAGCACTTTGTGACCATGAAAGGTGTTATATAAATAAACCTTTATGTACCTTTACTATATAGCACATGTCTTTGGACTGTGGGGGAAATGGAGAACCCAGAGGAAACCCACGAGAACCCACGTTATTTGGGATTACCTTTATTAGGGTTGGAATGTTGGAAGTTGAAAGCCTCGTGAGAAAGGAAGAAAGTCAATTACATTTTTTATTTCTTAAAATCTTTTATTTGATTGTTTGATTAAATGTTATGAAGAAATTAAACATAGATAACAGGTTAAAAAAACACACTTATACAAAGAAAATGACATTATGAACTTTGGAAACAATTGTTTGCCTGTGGGCTTCAATAGGTTAAAATGTTGTTCACATTAATAAAATTTACAGCAAAAGAAAGAAGAGAGTGTCATTCATAAACTTTTGTACTTGGCCTCTATGATAACATCATACAATACAACAGTTATTATTTCAGCCCTGCTAAAAGTGTTTTAAAAAAGGATGTTTGACCTTTAAAAACAAGTTAGGTTTAATCGTTTCTTGATTATTTTGTTACATTTAACAAATTGAAGACAGCAAATTGTCCTTAGAGACACAATGGGACCATAAGTTTCCTTTAAAACCAAAGTTTATATATATATATATATATATATATATATATATATATATATATATTAAAGAATTGTGTTTATTATCAGTTTTTTTATTTACACTTAAATAAATAAAGGTTCCAATTTCAAATTGTTTTTAGGCCTATTTATTTATTTTGCTCATTTATTCATTTGTTTTCTTTTTAGCTTAGTCACTTTATTTATCTTGGGTTGCCACAGAGGAATGAATCGCCAACTTATCCAGCATATTACTCAGCAGATACCCTTCCAGCTGCAACCCATCACTGGGAAACACCCATACACTGACAGTACAGACAACTCAGCTTACCCAATTCACCTGTACCACATGTCTGTGGCCTTGTGGTGGAAACTGGAGCACCAAGAGGAAACCCACGCCAACACAGGGAGAACATGCAAACTCCACACAGAAATGCCAACTGACTCGGCCGAGGCTCGAACCAGCGACCTTCTTGCTGTGAGGTGAGAGCACTACCCACTGCGCCACTGTGCTTTGCAGCAATGTAACTATTTTTAGCGTGTAAAAAAACTTTAAGAACATATTTTGAAAAGAACTACTTTTGGTAGAGTAATGAACATTTTAATAATAATAAAAAAAACATTTTACACTAAAAGCCTCAAGTAAAATTAATATTAAATGTTCCTGATGGAATAACCAATGACGAAAGAAGCTAATAAAGAAGCTTATTTTTAAGAGTGTGTGTATTGGCTTTATTTGATTTAACTATGATTCGATATATTACAAACGATCAATAAATTCATCAGTAAAATATTTTGATTTCTTCATGTACCACTGAACTGCAAGAGTGCTCGTGTGGTGTTATCGCGATACTCTCCGATGAGATCACATGATGACGTCGCACAGAATACTGGGAAACAAACACTGGCATGAATAACGCTTGGCGTAAACATCCCTCACCGATGTGGACAAGAGCTCGCGGTGCGCATGTAAACAAACCCGTCCAGCAAAGACACCGACCGTCAATCCGACACTTTCACAGTCGTCGTCCTCCGGGCCAAGAGATGTGACACTCTGAGGCGGACGAGCAGCGGGACTTTGGACTGGAGCCTGGATGGGAGCACTGCAGTGAGCTCGGGAAAGTTGAGCGTGTGTGTGTGAGTGTGTGTGATTTATCCGCCGGTGACAGGAGCGATCTGAACACGCCTGAAGGGATTTCACTCGTCAGATGTTGGGAAGGAGAGCATGGCGTTGAGAAGTGAAGCACAGCCGACACGCTTGCATCTCAAGTCCTTGAAGTGGCACGACTCCACATCGGTTTTTCCCAGATAAACTAGTAAACTGTAAATCTGTTTGGGACTATTCAGGGTTGCTACGTGTGAAATCGAGGGTCAGCGCTTTGGACTGGACGTCCGATTGATCAGTCGGGTGAAATCATATGAAGAAGGGGTGAATATGTGGAGCTCGGGGCCAGTGCAGGGTGTGCTGAAAGCCCTGAAGCACGCCGCGGGGAAGGGGCACATCCAGCTGAGCCGCTGGCTCCAGAGGACCCCGGACTCGCTTGACTGCGACAAGATCGACATCTTGATCTGTAACGTGTTTGACGAGAGAGCGAACGGAGGCAAAACAGATGCGGACCCCGCGGGCTTGACCGAGCCCGCCTCGTCCTTCACCCCCGAATTCAGACACCCGTGTTGCATTACCACCTGTTGCTTTAAAAGTGCCCTGCTGGCATGCGTCCTGACCGCCGTGTGCTTCTCGTCAGTGGCTCTAGTGCGCCAGTACCTGAAGGATGTGCTGCTGTGGGTGGAGAGTTTGGACAGTCTCGTGGGGGCCATGCTCTTCATTGTGGGCTTGATCACCGTCTCTTTCCCCTGCGGATGGGGGTATATTGTGCTCAACGTGGCCGCGGGATATTTATATGGGTTTGTGTTGGGCATGGGACTGGTGATGGTCGGAGTTCTGATCGGGACTTTTATTGCACATGTGGTGTGCAAGCGGTTGCTGACGAACTGGGTTTTGAGTAAGATAGGGAGCAGTGAGCAGCTGAGTGCTGTTATCCGGGTGGTGGAGGGTGGAAGTGGACTCAAAGTTGTGGCCTTGGCGAGACTCACGCCGATCCCTTTCGGTCTGCAGAACGCGGTCTTCTCGGTAAGTGTGCCCTTCATAATGTCAACACTGTTATTATTCCGTCTTTATCATTTGTTTTGTGTGTAATTTGATATATGATTGCAATTTCATATAACAATTTGAACTGGAATTAGTTTTTATAATTTTTTAATTTAAAAATATTCGAAAGTTTTGAGTGTTTTTGTTGTTGTTATCTGTCTATGTGAATTTTTGAAAACGTTATTTATTTGTTACATTTTAGCTATGTTGTTTTTTTTTTTTTTACCTAAAGTAGTTTCAACAAGCTGATATAAAAGTTGTTTTTTATTTGTTAACATTGCTTCAAAACCTTATTTTAAAACGAATAACAGTAGAGTGCATTTGTGCCCACTGGTTCTGGAAGTACTTATCACATTTCTTTTGTCTCATATTTTAATAATCACATATACATATACAGTTGAAGTCAGAATTATTAGCCCCCCTTTGATTTTTTTTGTTTGTGTGTGTATTGAAGTCAGAAGTATTAGCCCCCCTGAATTATTAGCCCTATTTATTTTTGTCATTTATTAAAGTATATGAACCAAACCAAAATATGATATCAAAATAATATAATTTTTTTAAAATATAAAAACCTGAATAAAGCCTCCACGATATTGAAAAAAACAGACATCACAATTTTTTGATTTTCCTCTAATATACAATATGAATACAATTTCACCAGATTAATTTAATTTATTTGTATAGAATTTACTTTTTTTAAATGTTGTATATGGGATGATGCTGCATAAAATATAACAGAAATCACGAGCACATATAAATGCAAAAGATGAAAAAAAAAACAAATTAAATGAACATTTGTGTTTTTTTTGGGGGGGGGGGGGGTCTAACCATTTTCAGGTAAATGAATTGAACCATCAAATGTAAAATAACACTGTATAATCGTCATCATCATGTAAATAAAAAAAATACAATTATCCTTAGTTTAAGCTACACACTTGTTTGTAAGGCTAACACAGTCGCAGGACCTAAAACACATACAATTATAAACTTTTTCTTGATTATACTTAAACTTTGCAATGAATGACTCCACTAATGACGTGTTCTGAGCTGTGGTTCCTGGTCAACATTGCGATGCAACATTGATGCACACATTGCGATAGTGATGATCTATATTGTTGGGCTTTAACCTGAATAATGTATGAGTTTGATAAGATTTTCATTAGCATTCAAGCTCAAAACCCGTTCCTGGTTTTAAATTCTCTCATCGATGAGAGAAACCTTAATTTGAGTGACCATAAAGGGAAAAAAGCTCAAGCTTTAGGATTTTACAAACCCACTCACTGCTGAAAAAGAAATGCACACAACTTTGCCAACAGCAGTGCCTACAAAGACTCTGAACACAGTTAAGCCGAAATAAAAAAAAAAACAAATTCACACACCGTGAAATGCCCCACTTTTTGTTATATTCATATCGCGCTCGGAATTCCAGTTGGTCAAATTTATATTGAGGGCAGACCTATTGTATAAATTCTCTATATGCTATAGTTAAATTATAGTGAGTTTTGACTAGAGACAAACACGCGTGATTTTATTTTTACCCCAGTAAAAGGCCACCCAGCACACGGACGTCTCTGTTTAATTGCATTGAGCTGGCTGTTAATCTTTAAGGGACATCCAGGTGGCTTTATCCAGATTTACCGGGCTTAAACAATTAAGACCTCCTGCTCAGAGCCAGATTTAAATCAAACGCAACTGCTCCTCACGAAAGATCAAGGGTAGAGACAGGTCTTTGTGTACGTTGAAATATTACCTTCAGACTCTTTGCATTGCCAACATAATACATTTTTAATTAGCTGACACACATGAGAAAGAAACTGTAACCTTTGACAAAGACAGAGGACAGTAATGAACAGCGATACATGCCTACCGTGGCGTCTGGCATCTCATTTAGCTTTACTCAGAATCAGATGAATTATTACTAACCCAGTTTTAACCTTTAACATGGTGGCATACATTATATACACTCACCGGCCACTTTATTATGTACACCTGTCCAACTGCTCGTTAACGCAAACATCCAATCACATGGCACCAACTCAATTCAGGCATATAGACATAAGCTGCGTCCCAAATGGCACACTATACACTATGCACTCATGCACTATGTACTTATGCACTTACACACTCAACAGGATAGTATATGTATGTAGTGTTGTCCCAAATGGCACACTAATGTTTTTTTTACTAAACGGAAATTCAAACCGTTTCCCTGATGACGTTTGATGGTTGCCAAATCAGTGAAATAAACGACCGAATTATCAAATAATACCTATCATGAGTATTGTCGTATTCACCATCGGGAGGTGCTATAATCACTCTCGTAGGAGAATTTTGCTTTCTCCATCCAAAATAAATGAAGTTATTCGACATGTGCGTCCGATAGCTCCGCCCCTTCCGCTACGTAAGCAAGCCTGCGGTCGTTGAGTGCGTGAAGTGTCCATCATTACACACTTCATTTTAGCGGCTGAATGAGGGCATCATCCGGGTAATTAAAGTGCACTTATTATTTTAAGAGTTTTCAGTGTGAACGCACTACTTACACTATTTATACTAAAAAATGGCGTAGAATAGTGCATAAGTATGCGATTTGGGACGCAGCTAAAGTCAAGATGATCTACTGCAGGTCAAATCAAGCATCAGAATGGGAAAGAAAGGTGATTTAAGTGACTTTAACGTGGCATGGTTGTTGGTGCCAGATGTGCTGGTTTAAGTATTACAGAAACTGCTGATCTACTGGGATCATCACGCACAATCTTCTCTAGGTTTACAGAGAATGGTTCGAAAAAAGTGAAAATATCCAGTGAGGGCAATTTTTTTGGCATAAATGCCTTATTGATGCTAGAAGTCAGAGGAGAATGGCCAGACTGGTTCTGATAGCTGATAGAGAGGTAACAGTAACTGAAAAAAACTCGTTACAACCGAAGTATGCAGAAGAGCATCTCTGAAAGCACAAAACGTCAAACCTTGAGGCATTTCCAGTAGGATGACGCGCCATGTCATGAAGCGCAAATCCTCTCAGACTGGTTTCTTTTACATGACATTGAGTTCACTGTACTCAGTTGGCCTTCACAGTCACCAGAACTCAATCCAATAGAGCACCTTTGGGTTGTGGTGGAACGGGAGAGTCGCATCATGGATATGCAGCCGACAAATGTGCAGCAACTGCACGATTCTTTAAATGTCAATATGGGCCAGAATCTCTGAGAAATATTTCCAGTACCTTGTTGAATCTAATTCACGCAGAATTAAGGCAGTTCTGAAAGGAAAAGGCGGTCCAACCCAGAACTAGTAAGGTGTACATAATAAAGAGGCCGGTGAGTGTATACAGCAAATTTAAGACGCCTACAGAAAAAAATAAACTGCACAATTTTCAGAATCAATTTCTAAATAAGGTTGTATTAGTTAATGTTAGGTAAGGTATTTATTAACTTGAACAATACAATACAATATGTATTACATTATCTGTTCATATTGGGTAACTTTAGTTAGTTAAAATAAAGTTGTTCATGTTAACTCATGGTGCATTAACTAATATCACCAAGCGCGAATTTGGATGTTAAGCAAGAATTTTGGATGTTAATAATGCATTAATGCAAATGTTGAACTATGATTAATGAATGCTGTTTAGGTACTGTTAATACATTACCATTAATGAATGAAACCTTGCTGTAAAGTTTGACCAACTTTTCTTGGCTTCTATGAGTGCGATTTTTTGATTACATTTGAATTTCATGTAAATGATTTGGTTTGGTGATCTAAAATAGTCTCTTTCCCTTTGGACTGATTCAGAAGCCATACCTTATACAGTTTTTTGTCCATTTTAGTCACATGTTATTTCATTACATACGCTCATTTTAAGAGCTGTATAGATGTTTATTTTGTTAAGGCTAGTATAGTTTTTGATGTGAACTTGTTGATCTTTAGCCTTTTTTTGTTGGTACATTTGACTATTATGCATGCCGTTTGCATAATCTATTCACTGGATGATTCATATGTAAATGAATTGTTCTTTTGATGTTTTTTGTGACTGTGATGACTATGATGATTATGAGCAGATGTCTTTATACAAGCTGAATGCTTTGCAACACGTCATCCACTTGACGTACTGCGTTAATTTGGCTGACAGTGAGTCACTGTTACTGATATCTAGGGTTCAGGAGTGCTGGAAATGAACATTGAACACCTGATTATGAGTACTGATTAGCGGTTTGTGTCACTGACTAGATTAACAACCTTTTTTTTTTGGTTTATTTACAAAGTAGGGGTTCCAGTTTATTGAACATAATTGAAAACTAGTTAAAGTGATTATTAAATAATTATAAATATCTATTTAATTATATATATTTTTGGTTACAACCACTCTCCTTTCATCAAAGTATTTAATTGCATGTACCTCATTGTTGGGGTTAAATACTGTAAATGAATAATACATTGAATTAAGGTATTTAGCATTTAAACATTAAACTTTAAAGTCTTTTAGACAAGGAAAACTGTTTTAACAAAAATGTCCTCATCATTTGCTCACACCCAAGTTGTTGTAAACTTTGAGATTCTTTTGTTGAACACAAAGGAAGATATTCTGCAGAATGGTGAAATAAAGCAGCCATTGTCATCCATAGGAGGAACAAAAACAACTATAGAGGTCAAGCTTTTTGTCAAACTAAAACCAATTTGTAACAAATCTAGGATGAATGAATGATGAAAGAATTTTTATTTTGAGGTAGGGCTTGGCGATTTGGCCTAAAATCAAAATCTCGATTAATTGAACATTTTAACTGGATTACGATTAATGAACGATTATTTTATCAATTTATTTTATTTTTGTGCCCTCATAGCTCACTGATAAGAATTGTACAGTAAATATGCTCACATATTACTAGTGAGAGATGTTTGATTAAAGGGTGCATTACTTGATTTTAAAATAATTATAGAAAACACACACTATCTTGTGCGATTTAATCGAATTACAATCACGATTTGAA